CCTCATCCAGATGTTCTTCCACCGACCAAAAGAGAAAAAAAACAAAACTTAAAACAAAAACCCGCAACGTTTCCCTATCAGCCCGGCGTCGCGGTACGGAAGGCCGTAGCGTTCCAAAGGCGGAGGATGCGGATTGGCTGGGAGTTCGGGCTGTGGGAAGCCGAGAGTGCACTGCGGAACGATAAATTTTATCCCCGAAGAATCCCAAGAGCAGAATGCCAGCAACAAGTATTATTCCTAGCAACACACGAAGGGAACGAACGAAACCAGAGACAAGGCGCTCCTCCGAACCGAAACATGAATTGGTCAACACAAGCAGACACACGTCGACCTGGATTCTACACCAGCAAAAACCCCAAGAGCAGAACGCCAGCAACAAGTATTCCTAAAAACAAACCAAGGGAAACAACGAAAATAGAGACAAGACAGTCTGATGTTATGACTTCAAAACGTACATTACTCCGTGACCTTCTGTTCTAATTTCGCTTCTACACTGTCTCTAAGACCCCTCACCCGAAAGGATCATGTTTGTCTTTCCAGGTGAAGGGACTACCCGCCCCAAAGAGAAAACAAGCAAGTAGATGACCAATAGTTGCTCTGCAATACACCGTCCTAATTGTGTTTTTAAATGTTTAAAATTGGGTCTTTTCAAGGCCGCCGCCCCTGTAATTATAGTCAGGGATACAATAAAAAATGCGCAGCAACGTGCTTGACTTGGTTTTGGAATGCCAAACGACCAAAAAAAATTTAACGAAATTCATACCATAATGCTTTAAATTAAACCTCCTCTTTGGGGTCTCTTCCCCGCCCTCGCCCCGCCCACCCCCCCCCTCCGCCCCGCAGCGACGGCGGGGCAAGACAGAAGGCGGCCTTGCGCCTTCGCGCGGCAGATGTTCCTGTCGCCTTGCGCGCCTTGCCGCCGGCACCGCTCCTGGCGCTTGGCGGAGGGGCTCCTCCTGCTCCGGCTGGCCGGCTACTCCTCTGACGGTCTTGGCCGTCTTCCTGGAGATCTCAACGAGATGGGCGGCTGGCGGACGTTCGCGTGACCGACCGACAAACACGACGACCAAGTCGAGGTAGCTAGGGCCGGGCTGGGTGGGATAAGCTCTTCCACAAACACCCCCTCTTAAATCAGCATGTTATCCCTGTGGTAACTTTTCTGACACCTCTAGCGGAATATTTCTCAGATTGCAAAGGTCATGGTTGTGCAAGGATGCGCGCACTATTTCGAAACGTTTGTTCTCATGAGAACACTCAACTCGTGATTCGGTGTTCAGAAACGAAGACTTTTTGGCTTGGTCGCCCTGTTAAAGATGCCGATGTATTCGCATTGCACTTGCTCATCTCAGAATAGAGCATGAGGGAGGTAATCAGAATAGTAATACATGACCTCAAGCCTTTGCCCCCCCCCCCCCCCCCCCCCGGACAAGCAACACCCGAGGCTTGCTAGACTGGACTGCAGAAGTTCACAAACAGAAAAGCAAGAATTTGACAGTA